CCACCTCTGGGGGATACGGCTGCCTTAACTATCATACCACCTGCTGACCACAACTCCCCTGTTCTAATGTGCAATCCAACATCCCTCTCCAACTGTCTGGAACCCCCTTTCTCTGATATGTTTTATCATGAGATTTCTTATCTTCTAACACCATGTGTTTTAGAATTTTTTATGTTTACTTTCTCCCTTACATTCTTCTTATGAGAAAATGGGGCCAAGATACTCACCTCTTTTGTTCACTGATTAATTCCAACCTCCTAGAATAGCATCTAGCTTATAGTCAGTACTCAACAAAAGTTTAATAAATGAGTGAATATATTAATATATAATATGTATAACATAATACCTGACATAATTAGATAAGCAATGAATACATTATAGGAGTGATTGTCAAATAATTCTATGATAAATTACTATTGGGTTCCAAAATGGAGTGTAGTACAAAGACGTACTTAGTATCACTGAGAGGTCACATACACAAACACATCATCCCTGCAGTGTGACTACTGACCATCCACCAAGTGGTCAGCCCTTATACTAAGCACTAAAGATAAACATAATGTTGAGTACTGGAGTTACTGTTTGCACAGCCTGGGGGCAGGTTTCTGTTACACCTTCCAAACCATTACTCCCATGGAACCCCACAGGGGAGCCCTTTTACCCCTCAACACACACAGGGCCATAACTCCCAAGATTCACACCTGAGGCCATGTTAATGGTGCCCTCAGCATTGATGGGAGCAGCTGTGATGTCCCCACCCATACCTATTATCCACAGGAGCTGTACCCCCACCTGCCGCATATCCATTGATTGAACAGCAGAAGAGGGCAGGCCTTTGAATAGCCTATGCTCAGGGGTAAGAGTATGAGGAGAATATGAAAGGCATGAGCCAGAGGAGTGCTGGCATCTTGGCTCTTCTCAGAGCAGCTAACTAGCTTTGGGTACTATCACAAAGACTAAGGAGAAGCAGGAGTCCATGCTCTGAGAGGACACAGTGACCCGAAGGCATCCAATAGAGCAGGCATCATGCATGGTTTTTCTCACACTTCATCTCTCTCGCAGTGCCCAGGCCAGTCAGGTGACATCGGTGCCATGATCAGACTTCTGAGACGGGCAACAGCCTGCTTCCGGAGGAGAGTGGATCATGCCCAGGAGCAATACCCACAACACATGAGGCCCCTGCAAGGTATCCCTCTGTGTGTCCTCTAGTCCCCCATACAAGGAGTGTCCCCACAGGGCATCTCCTCATCCCTAATGTGTGGCCTCGGGTATGATGCAGGAACACTCAGTGGTGATGCCATCTTGTGTGTATGTGAATAGTGGAGGTCTCCAAGTTCTTACATGCCCAAGAGCTAGGCTGGCATCGACTCAAACCCCAAACTCTCCTGGCTATCTAAAGTGGGAAGATGTTGACAAGACCCTAGATGGCTCTTCTTACCCTTCATTTCCCCATGTGCGTTGCACAGTACCAGCCTTTTTCTCTTTCCAGTGGGTAGAAAAACTCGCTAATTTGAGGGTGAATTTAGTCTTGTATCCCAAATGGGCATATATTTAGAATCAAATGGATAAGTCATATATCTGGTCCTGTAGGAGGACAAGATGCATATTTAACTTGCTCACCTTTGTATCCTAAAATTCTGCCCCAGACTGGGGAAACAAATGATGATATTTGTATGTGGTGAATGGGAATCCATAAAATGTGATAAGGTATGCTGGGATAAATGGCATCTCTGCTCTGAATTATATTAATTCTAATTTGTGTTGAGATCTCATGTGTGCCAATCTTGGAACCAAGGGCTTTAAGGACATTCATGTCATTTAATTCTGACAAAAACCCCAATGACAGAAGTCCTAGTGTTGTGGTATCCACGCTACAGCCGATTTAGGGACACAGACAGGAAAGGGGACACACAGCTGGTCTGTGGTCCAGCAGAACTCACACTCAGACACTCAGATCTGGCAGCCATGTGTTACCCGCTATGCTCCCACCTCTGCAGACGCTTCTTTCCACCAGAGTCAATTCAGTGTCTCCAGGAGCGACTAGTGGAAGGGACTGCGCTTTGCTTAGTAGTGTCCTCCGAGCAGGGACCTGTCTTTTTGGTGTAAGAATCTCCCTGTGGCTTCTCTGCCAGTGGAGTTTGAAGCCCTGCAGAGGTAGCTGAGTCTTAGCAAAGTTTGCCAGAGATGATGGTTTCTAAGCTTTTGCCTGAAATCTCTCACTGCAGCATTCATTACTAGCTCTGCTTTTACCAAATGGGGTATGCACTGAAGAGTCTTCAATAAATTTTCATGTGCCTGAGTGGCAGTTGTCTCCATTGTCCTTCCTTTTTCTTCTGTGATATGATGTAACTAACACATTTGACCCATTAGTTTATATTTTTTCTTTCTTTTTTTATGACCCACTAGTTTTTCAATTTGTCAGATTTTCCTGGTTTATGTTTTCATAATCTAGTGTAATCAATTTTCTGGTCCAGCCACAATGGCATACACTGATATATGCTGCTACTCTGTAGGCTGAGGTCACATGGGGGGGAGCAGTTCATGTTTGATTCCTGGACTATCCTAAAAGCTGCAAACAGTGGTGCACGCCTGTGGTCCTAGTTGCTAAGGAGGCTAAGGAAGGTAGGAGGATTGTGACATAGCAAGACCCTTTAAAAACAACAACACATACACACACAAAAACAAAACTCCTCACTGCCATTCTGTCAGTTCACCCAAGTTGTGTAAGAATTTGTAACTTTCTGATTCAGAATTCAGATTCTTCAACAGACAGACTGCCTGGGTTCAGATCACAAAATATCATTTACCAGCTATGCTTATTCAGACAAAAGAAACTCCCTGATGATTTGGATGTGCTTTTGGGCTAGACTTATAATCTTGATATCTTTTAGTGATTTGTCTGGTGAGATATCTAATAATCTCCAGATACTATTGCACATTATTTTATGAAAATTATGAAGTTATATAATAATAGCAGTCATTTAAAGACTGAACATGCAGATATGGTATAACAACAACATTTATACTCTAATCTGCAAGGCATTGCAGTTATGTGATGTATACTGACGTGTATGTCCTGACAGGTATGTGACATTAACTGACATGTATGTCTCAGTTACTCTTCAGGCAGAAATTGTTATTTTCCTCAGTTGACAGATGAGAACAGGGTTAGAGAGGTAAAGAAATTTGTCTAGTTACACAGATGATATTTGTAGGAGTTATAATGGAAATCAAGGCAGTCTGACTTGACACAGTGCTCTTAACCACTAACAAGTGGTAGAGCCAAAATTTGAACCTGGACACTCTGCCTTTAGAATTTCACACAAGTCATCATTATGCTCTATTGTCTGTGTCATCTGTTTCTCAAATGCAGGCCATACTGTTTCAAAAGTAGATGATTGTCTACCCTATCTTCCTCTGGTAGAACTTATTTAGAGTTAGTGTTTGCTTATGAGATTAACATAACCTGTTGTTTACTCATCTCATAGGTGACACCAAATTGAAAACTGTGCAGGGAGTTGTGACAAGTTTCTGTAGCGATTATGGCTTAATTAATGAGTCAATCCACTTCAAAAGTGATGTTGTGACTGGTAATACACCTTTAAAAGTTGGACAAAAGGTTACTGCAATTGTGGAAGAAGATGAAATATCTCATGGATTGAAAGCAATCAAAGTAAGATTTGCATGAGTTTGGGACAGTCTCTTATCCTAGTGGCTTTCATTCTTCCTTTTCTTGTATTAACCCAACCTCTCTAATGTAACCTGTAGAGTGGACATAGAGTAGAATTGGCAGTTCCACTCTGCTGGCTGTGTAGATTCTCTTGTACTAATATTTGTAGTAATTTCTGTTTTAAGAGTAAAAATTGTAAGGGCCAGCAAGTGGTGTGGTGGTTAAAGGTTGTAGATTCCCACATGGCAGACTGTGGTTTGAGTCCTGGACTTGGTGGTTTGCTTTTTCACTCTCCCCCCCCATTCAAATTAAATAATAACAAATAAAGTTAAGTAAAAATGATTCAAAGTAAAAATTAAATGTCTATTCTTCTAGTATCTAAAAAATATGGTAAACAATGATAATAATCACTCTATACTATTCTGGAATATCATTTATCAGGTAAAAAATTCTTTTTTTTAAATTAACATAATAGTTGTATATACTCATGGGGGATGTAATGTGATTTTTCAGTACATGAATACAATGGGTAATGATTAAACAGGGATAATTAATATATTCAACATCTCAACTACTTGATGTTATTTTGTAAAAACATTTTCTATAGTATGTGTTTACAGAAGTAGAATTGTTATCTCAAACAATGTGCACTGAGGCCACCAGATGGCATAGTGATTAAGGCACTGAACTCCCATGTGGCTGACTGTGGTTCAAGTTCTGGACCAAGCGGCTTGAAACTCACACCAGGGGTGTGTGTACATGGCCAAAACTCCAAGAGGAGGATGGAAGAGAAGGGACTGAGGCATGGCTATCCACTCTGGGGGAGGGGGTGATTTCTCACTGTTATGTCTCTGTCTGTCTCTGTCTCTCCAGTGGGCATAAATACCCCATAGCAAAAATCTCTTAAAAATTGCACACTTTTAACTTAAATTTAAAGAGCTTTATTGAGGTATAATTTACATACCACACAATTCATCCATTTCAAGAATGCAATTCAGGGCCAGCAGGTGGTGTAGTTATTGAGATGCTGGACTCGCACGTGGCCAACCATGGTTCTAGTCCTGGACTTGGCAGCCTGTTTTCTCACTTTCTCTTGCTCTTTCTGGTGAACACATGTGCCTTATAGCAAATTAAAAATAATAATAATGATAAATAAAATTAAATAATTACTTAATAATACAGTTCAATGACTTTTTTTTGTAGATTTACAGAATCAAGTAACCATAATCATTGTCTAGATATTTACCATTTGGATAAGTATTATTAAATTATCCTTTAGCTATATTGTACTGAGTCCCTGGGAAGTAGGCTGAGTCTGTCTATTTGATGGTATTGGCAAGAATGGGAATATAATCATTCTGAAATCTTTCCCAATTTTAGAAGTAAAAAGCAGTCTTGCCATTTTTTTTTTACAGTTTTTGCTATGGGGAGCATGCACTCACCAGAGAGAGAGACAGACAGAGCGTGTGCACTTTGAGAGAGAGAGAGAGAGAGAGAGAGAGAGAGCACACCCCCCCAGGGGTCTTACCACACTGCAATCTATTCTCTTCCATTCTTCTCTCAGGATCTTGGGCATGCAAGTACATGCCCCTGGTGTCATTTTCAAGCCACCAGTTCTAGGACTCAAAATGTGCAGCAGGCCTTGTTGGATCCAGCCACCTTAACACCACCTGCTGGCCCCTTGTCTTATAATTTTATTTGGAATTTCTTTAAGTCTTAATGCATCTCTAGCAACATTTATTTCCTTAGAGAAACTATCAAGAACTTTACAGCGATTTGTGTTAGGAGATCTAAAGCTTTATGAGGAAAAGTAGTATATGAAGGTGTTGAGCCAAAAAGAACAATTATGAAAGTTATAAGGAAAAAGGAATTTTATTTAGATGTTACAAAGCTAGCATGAAACAAGGGTCAGACCCTAGGGAATGTAATCAGATCTACTAGCAACATGGCCAGATGGAAATGACAACATGTCCACTGACTCTGAATAAGCTAGAATTTTTTTTTTAAGAGGAAAAGGAATTGAAGATAACTGTAGACAGCAGAGATAGTGTAATACGAGAGTGGAATAGGGCAGAGGGTCAGACATGGGGTATAAAACATATATACATGAAAGTAGAAATGGAATATTATGGATGATAACATGCATGATTAAGCCACTATTAATGGAAATCAAGGCAGTCTGACTTGACACAGTGCTCTTAATCACTACTCTCCATGGCCTGTGATGTGAGGCTACTGTGCTATAGAGAGAAGTGGTAGAGCCAAAATTTGAACCTGGACACTCTGCCTTTAGAATTTCACACAAGTCATCATTATGCTCTATTGTCTGTGTCATCTGTTTCTCAAATGCAGGCCATACTGTTTCAAAAGTAGATGATTGTCTACCCTATCTTCCTCTGGTAGAACTTATTTAGAGTTAGTGTTTGCTTATGAGATTAACATAACCTGTTGTTTACTCATCTCATAGGTGACACCAAATTGAAAACTGTGCAGGGAGTTGTGACAAGTTTCTGTAGCGATTATGGCTTAATTAATGAGTCAATCCACTTCAAAAGTGATGTTGTGACTGGTAATACACCTTTAAAAGTTGGACAAAAGGTTACTGCAATTGTGGAAGAAGATGAAATATCTCATGGATTGAAAGCAATCAAAGTAAGATTTGCATGAGTTTGGGACAGTCTCTTATCCTAGTGGCTTTCATTCTTCCTTTTCTTGTATTAACCCAACCTCTCTAATGTAACCTGTAGAGTGGACATAGAGTAGAATTGGCAGTTCCACTCTGCTGGCTGTGTAGATTCTCTTGTACTAATATTTGTAGTAATTTCTGTTTTAAGAGTAAAAATTGTAAGGGCCAGCAAGTGGTGTGGTGGTTAAAGGTTGTAGATTCCCACATGGCAGACTGTGGTTTGAGTCCTGGACTTGGTGGTTTGCTTTTTCACTCTCCCCCCCCATTCAAATTAAATAATAACAAATAAAGTTAAGTAAAAATGATTCAAAGTAAAAATTGCATGTCTATTCTTCTAGTATCTAAAAAATATGGTAAACAATGATAATTATCACTCTATACTATTCTGGAATATCATTTATCAGGTAAAAAATTCTTTTTTTTAAATTAACATAATAGTTGTATATACTCATGGGGGATGTAATGTGATTTTTCAGTACATGAATACAATGGGTAATGATTAAACAGGGATAATTAATATATTCAACATCTCAACTACTTGATGTTATTTTGTAAAAACATTTTCTATAGTATGTGTTTACAGAAGTAGAATTGTTATCTCAAACAATGTGCACTGAGGCCACCAGATGGCATAGTGATTAAGGCACTGAACTCCCATGTGGCTGACTGTGGTTCAAGTTCTGGACCAAGCGGCTTGAAACTCACACCAGGGGTGTGTGTACATGGCCAAAACTCCAAGAGGAGGATGGAAGAGAAGGGACTGAGGCATGGCTATCCACTCTGGGGGAGGGGGTGATTTCTCACTGTTATGTCTCTGTCTGTCTCTGTCTCTCCAGTGGGCATAAATACCCCATAGCAAAAATCTCTTAAAAATTGCACACTTTTAACTTAAATTTAAAGAGCTTTATTGAGGTATAATTTACATACCACACAATTCATCCATTTCAAGAATGCAATTCAGGGCCAGCAGGTGGTGTAGTTATTGAGATGCTGGACTCGCACGTGGCCAACCATGGTTCTAGTCCTGGACTTGGCAGCCTGTTTTCTCACTTTCTCTTGCTCTTTCTGGTGAACACATGTGCCTTATGGCAAATTAAAAATAATAATAATGATAAATAAAATTAAATAATTACTTAATAATACAGTTCAATGACTTTTTTTTGTAGATTTACAGAATCAAGTAACCATAATCATTGTCTAGATATTTACCATTTGGATAAGTATTATTAAATTATCCTTTAGCTATATTGTACTGAGTCCCTGGGAAGTAGGCTGAGTCTGTCTATTTGATGGTATTGGCAAGAATGGGAATATAATCATTCTGAAATCTTTCCCAATTTTAGAAGTAAAAAGCAGTCTTGCCATTTTTTTTTTACAGTTTTTGCTATGGGGAGCATGCACTCACCAGAGAGAGAGACAGACAGAGCGTGTGCACTTTGAGAGAGAGAGAGAGAGAGAGAGAGAGAGAGAGCACACCCCCCCAGGGGTCTTACCACACTGCAATCTATTCTCTTCCATTCTTCTCTCAGGATCTTGGGCATGCAAGTACATGCCCCTGGTGTCATTTTCAAGCCACCAGTTCTAGGACTCAAAATGTGCAGCAGGCCTTGTTGGATCCAGCCACCTTAACACCACCTGCTGGCCCCTTGTCTTATAATTTTATTTGGAATTTCTTTAAGTCTTAATGCATCTCTAGCAACATTTATTTCCTTAGAGAAACTATCAAGAACTTTACAGCGATTTGTGTTAGGAGATCTAAAGCTTTATGAGGAAAAGTAGTATATGAAGGTGTTGAGCCAAAAAGAACAATTATGAAAGTTATAAGGAAAAAGGAATTTTATTTAGATGTTACAAAGCTAGCATGAAACAAGGGTCAGACCCTAGGGAATGTAATCAGATCTACTAGCAACATGGCCAGATGGAAATGACAACATGTCCACTGACTCTGAATAAGCTAGAATTTTTTTTTTAAGAGGAAAAGGAATTGAAGATAACTGTAGACAGCAGAGATAGTGTAATACGAGAGTGGAATAGGGCAGAGGGTCAGACATGGGGTATAAAACATATATACATGAAAGTAGAAATGGAATATTATGGATGATAACATGCATGATTAAGCCACTAT